CTTGGCTCCAGCTCTTAGGCCTCCGCTGCTGAAAGTAGGTTTCTGGCCTTTGCATACAATGTTGCGATCCTGCTGGCTGAAGTCCGGGGGTATTTGTTACAATATTTGAAACTGCAGGCTCAGAGGCCTGCAGCCGCAGGCGGGGTTTTCTCCGTCACTGAGGCAAGCAAGCCTCATGTTAGTTTCAAGCTGCCTGGCTGCCAGTGGCTATCTTGGCTGACAGTTAATTTGCATATCTCGCTGATTAGCCAATGAAAAGGGTAGCGGTAGTAGGCCAATTACCATGTTTCTCTTTTATTAGTGTAGATTGGGTATCTTTTCAGTGTTTCTCCATGTGGGATCCAGCAAATGAAAACACCCACTATTTCTTGTGGAAGAAAATGGTCCTGCCATTAATGCAGTTGCAGTCTGCAGCAAGTGTGCTGCCCTACTGGGCTGTGGGGGAAGGCAGATATCCCTTCTCAATCACCAGGCTGTGCGGATTGCTGTGCCTACATTGCTATCCTCAGTGTTTTCCCTCCACAGGCAGCAGGCCGAGCTCACACTGACGCAGCACCCAGCTCCCATCTGTTTCCTGGTCTGAGTTTGCCAGGGTTCCCGGAGTCCCTATTACCTTAAACTGACAAGCTCCCATGACCTCTGTGAGTTATGGGCAGGCAGTCCCAGTTTCAACACTCCTGCTTTGGTAACTTGATCTTGGCCAGGTTGATCTGCGCCTCCCATGGGCGCAGCTGGGGCGGGACTGTTCTGTGGGATTTATGGGGGGGTCTGTCTGGGACCCCGCAGCCCGTTGCATCTGGCGAGCCAAGCGGGGCGGGACCGCTCCGGCCTCCAGCAGGAGTGGCTTGAGGCCTGGGCGGGGAAGATGCGCGGCCGGGGTGACCCGGGGCCGCGGTGGAGTGGATCTTGGCGGGCGGGGGCGTGGCCTCCCGACCCCGGGCAGCGAGGTCACACCCCTGCGCCGCGGCCCACCCGCTTCCAGTCAAGATGGCGCTGGCGACGGGG